GCTACTTTGGTTGTTTTTTTTGTATTAAATTGTTTGTACGGTTGGTTGATCGGATATACTTTCATTTGTTAAAGGTGGACCCAATGGCCGATGACTCCTCTCGAGGGATGCCCTAACGTGTTTTAGACAGTTTGTAGCCTGCCACCTGGTTATCACCAGGTTAGTTATGTAATGTAGTATTGCGTTAAGTAGTTTTCTATGATTTGCTTTTTCATGATTACTAGATATGATCAAAGCACCAATAAAAAATTGATTGTTCATCAGAGATATGTTTTGGATATCTCTCTATAAATGATGATACTGATTTTCAATGAATTTGGTTTCTTTCGAGGGGACAGTATGTTATGGGTTATATCTTAAGGATGCTGCCTGCGTATTCAAATATCTGATTTTCAATAAATTACACTTTGTTCAAACCGACCAACCCGACCCAACCCGACCGACACTTGATTGGGTTGGGTTGGGTTGGGTTTCAACGTGTATTTGGGTTGGGTTGGGTTGAAATTAGATCAAACCGACCGTGTTGGGTTGGGTTTGGGTTGGGGCAAAAACCGACCCAACCCAACCCACGCCCACCCCTAGTAGCGGCTGTGGTGGTGGTGGTGGTGGTGGTGGTGGTGGTGGTGGTGGCGACGGTGCTGTGGTATGGGCTGATGGTTATGACCAATTACTTGGTTGATTGTGACCAATAAATAATATGTTATATAAAAAATGTTAGATTCCTACTAAATTTATAATCGCGACTCACAATTTGTTAAGTTGTGGCCAATTAATTTAATAATTGGTGATCAATAAGTAACTATGACCAATTAATTTGATAATTTGTGATCGTGGAATAACTTGTGACTTGAAATTTGTGATTTGTGACCTTAAAATAAGTTGTGTGATTTGTGATCGAAAAATAATACCACCTTCCTTAATAGAATAATACATGTCATTCTGTCATTAACCATTAAAAAAAAAAAAAGAGAGACAGTTTTGCACCAATCACCGATTACCACACCTTAATCTGTCATCCATGAAGTCAAATTCATCTCGCAATGGCATTACTCAAAAATGGAAGCAACACGTTTTCTGTCAATTCTAAATACTAGAAAATTGACACTGCAAAGTATGAGCACTCATTGATTGAAGGTAAAGTAATAACTTTTCTTCTTTTTCAACCACACATTCTCCATCAATTTACTATTCCAAAATATATTTTTTTAAAATAATGTGACTCAAACACACTCAAAAAGTTATTTAAAGGTAAACATAAGTTTCTTACGGTTAAAAGTTACTTCTAAATAATTTTGTTTCCCGAACATGTTAGACGAAAATGAGTTAACTTGTTCAAAAGTACTGCGTTTAGGATTGGCCAAACATATCCCCCGTGTCATCTCCAAAGTTGTTACGTAAGTCTTTGCGAGACAGTTTGATAGGATTATTACTTTTGTTTCTACTTACAGGAACTTTTCAGGGATGCTATCTTACTTAGAGGGTGTTTGAAACCCATTTTTTGAAAAATGAAATTTTTGAAATAGTGATTGATGGGAGATTATGTGGTGGAAAAGTTATGAAAAGTTTTAGATTTGTGTGTAATATTATTTTATTGGAAGAATATGTGGTTGAAATAAAGAGAGAAAAAAATGAGAATGAGAATTAGATAAAAATGGGTATCAAACAGGGCCTTAATGTTTGAAAAATAATTTCTTAAAAAACCCTATTCTGGAAGAGCATTTAAAGCCAGATGTTCTTTTAACTAGAAATAACACTTTTATAAAATGAACCACACGAGTCCAAAAGTTTCAAAAACTCATTTTAACTTTTCAAAAATCATACCAAATGGACCCACATCATATGAAATTCAATCCAAACTCAATGCTAAATGGATGACACACATCCTAGGATCAAATTGAAAGTACATGTAACACACCAACCGTGCCACATTAATAGAACTTGCTAATCTTTCATGATGCATTAACCAAAGTGCTGATCAGATCTGATAGTAGGGTGAGCAAGCTAGCCTTAACCGGTAGCCAATCAGGTCATTGCAGACAAAAAAACATCAACCCCAATCATGTTTGGTATATAACATTGGATGACAACTTTGTTGACAACATGTCAGGTGACATGTTGTCGTTGGACAGTTTGAACTAGGGGCTACATGTTTTGTATTGTGGGGTTAAAGATGAAAATGAAAATTTCTTTTAAAACATATTATTAACGAATATAAGTCAATACACTACTACAACTGTAACCTACAAGTTTTCATATTCTGAAATTACATCATTATCAATATTGTCAAATAAATTGTTCTTAATATATGCAACCAAACTATCACTTAACCAATGATTTCTCATACAGAAAATACTCTCTACCATAAGAGTAGCAATTGGAAGAACTAATGCCAATATTACAAGCATGTAAACTAATGGGTACACCTCACTTTTTTCGTCACAGCCAAATTTCTGCAAGATTATTAAAGACTCGTGACCTAATAATATTTTCAGTCATCCACTGTATTGAAACTTTAATTTAAACAGTTGATTGTTCCCAATTTCAAATATTAGACTTCACAATATTTTAAACAAGAGTAATGCTACAGGTACATAAACATCTACATAACGGTTGACATAATTACACGTGGCATATAATCTAACATTTAATTCAAATTTCACACTTACACATCAACAATTGGATGATTGACACATCACCATTATGTGCACCATTATGTGCATCATTATGTACCTCTAGCATTATTCTTTAAACAATTGATTGTTCCCAATATTTTCAGTAAAAAAATCAGTTCTACTTCCATACCAAACTGTAAAAAATCAGTTCCATTATTTCATACCAAATCAGTCAATATTTTCTCCAATAAAAGTTAAGTAGTTAAAATCTGTAACAATATTTCCAGTTCCTCAAATCCGAACTACCGAACATATTTTAGAACAATCATCCATTATCCATACCAATTTGCAAAAATCAAATCCAAAGATTCCATGTTCTAGAACGGGACTCACTTGGTTAACAAAAAACAACTCCAAACCTGTACTGGTACATACATTTTCGATGGAGCAGTAGCCGAGTAGCAGTAACCTATGGAGGGGCGGAGGAGTGTTTTACTTTTATTTGATTTGTGCCATGAGGAGAAGAGAGGCAAACTGGAAAAGAGGAGAGGAGACGGTTTAGGAGACTGGGAAGATTAAAAGTCATAGAAGTTGGGTTGGATAAATGGATATATGGAATATGGATATAGTGCAATTGGATTTGGGCTTGTAAGTTGTGGGCTGCTCTACGGATGGGAAATTGGGTAACTGGGTAGCCGGTAGGTTAAAAAAAATCCAAAATTTTTGTGGAGTCATTTGACCCCATACGATCCCATGTGGGTCCACCCCTGGTTTGAACAGCATGTTTTTTCAACCACTGTTTTTTGTTAACTTATACATTGTTAACAACGTTGTCATTCAACATTGTACAAATAACTTAATCCAAGAAACATTAGCGAGTCAATCATGCAAGTCAACACCTGTGCCTTTTACCTATTCAAGAACTGTAGATGTGACACAGTACATGCCCCGTTTATTCTCTGTTCATAAAAGTATACTACGTAAATACACAAAATCCTAGTATATGTATGAAATGCCAAAAAAAAAGTATCATATGAAATGCCAAAAATCCTACAAACACATTCCATTACTGAGCGTTTGATTGGGTCCCTGACTTGACTGTCGAAGTAAACTCGACTTTGGAACCCTTGGGTTTAGCCAAGCACAATAATCAGGCACCGTTTTAAGTATTTGTGCAGTTGACACAAAGGTTCCTGATTTTCTTTATCAACACAATTCACTAAAGTGAGAATATTGACGGGTCAGCAAATTCTCCATCTGGTTATCTAAAAGCTACGCATAAGAGTAATACATTAGAAATCGGATCCAGCAAGGAATCAAATGGCCTCAGCTATGAGAAGACACTACGAATAAGTTACAACCTTCCTTTCACCATTGGAAGGGGAGTAAATCCTCCTCCTCCACCCCCCACAAACCCAATTAATGATACTGTGAGGTCTTAATTTATTTTCCTTCACTTGTAAGATCTCCGACTTTTAACTTGCAGCATCAAAACAGGTAAGGACACTGAGCTTTTATTAACAACCTAGAATGATAACTTAATCCAATTGCTCATGGACAATCCAATCATAACTCATCCATAATCTTACCTGAAGAAAAATAAGCTACAGGAGCAGAACACAGTATTAATGCTGTTTCCTATTGAAGAACTGAAAAGTTGATTTCTCAAGCCAAACCGCTTATGGTGAAGAAGAAAAATCTGTAGGTAAATAGATGATATAACTTTGTGGAATTTTTCGACTTTGTAAGAATCAACGATATTTTATCTAAACAGGCCAGTATCAAGGATATTGTGCACTATGATGAAAACAGGATACGATCCTCAGTCCGATCCCTCAAAAGGATATTGGTGCCCACACGATGTCCAAACTGAATTGAGAAACTCATAATTAGGAGCACCACAAATTTTCAGGACAAAAGATGATACCTGGCATGCCTAGATAAGTTCAGGCAACATGGATGAATGTTTCTAACATAACTACAGAACCGTGATTCTTACACATTACACTTCTGTATATTGCAGACGGTTGCTAATGGGAAGGATTGTTTCTTGCGTGGGAGCAACCTATGAGCAGATGGGATGAGAAACTCGGAAACAATCAAGATTGTAATTCAGTTATATATTCTGAAGACAGGTCAAAGAACTAGAGGATTTAGATTTCAAAGCATATTTGTGCTTCATCATGAAATGATAGGTAAATATTATGATCTATACTTCATGTAAAATGTAAAATCTCAATCCGAATTTGGCAGTAAAAAACGCAGTTGAAGCCCTCAAATATTCCAAGATATGATAAAATGCTTACAAGTATGCAGTCATCACATTCGAAATCAATAAGCAACAAACTTCCAGAAATTCCAAATGAAAATGTCATAAATCATTTAAATCTAAAAACCGTCATATCTAGACAGTACAACAAATATCATACCAAGAGAAGCACCAGCAATACACAAATAAGTAACCCCACGAACACGAACAAAAAAGGTGTTCAAATTTTTGGTAACCTGAAGTGTAAGGGTCAAAATCTGCAGCCTGCCTTGCTCCTCCATTTTCTTGAAGAAGTACATCGGCTTCAATGAGCGCCTCATCATGAATGCCAATGAAAATGGTAGCCCAAACGCCAGAAAACTCTGTAAAGAAACCTCGGGAATAGGAGAATTTCGCATAATATACGACGTCCAAGCTCCCAAACACAGCTGCACAAGGCCCAAACTAGCCAAAACCTTGCTTAAACTATAAACAGTCTTCATCATTGTTTCTAGAACTTCTCGGGTCTCATTGGCTAATGTCGATAAATCGCGCTCCACGGTCGGTCCAGTGATCTCCTGGTGCTTCAATTCCGGGTCTTGACTAGGAAACTCGCTCGATTTTTCAGGGTTTTGGGCATCTGACGATGATGAATTATTCGAGGTGGACAAAAATCTTGGAAGATCTCGGAAACTTTTCGGGTTCAGAAGTGTCTGTGATATGGATTTGGGGCTTAGAACTGTGTATGATTGACCTGAAACTTGAACATAATTAGTTAACATGTGGGTTTTGGGGTTCATAGGGGGTTTTTCAAGGAAACACGGTTTTTGACTGCCATTTGGGCACTTGGAAATGGAATTTTGTGAGTGTGATCCGATGAAAACGTAATTGAAAAAGGGTTTTGGGGTAGGAAACTTACGTGAGGAAGTGAAATTGGATTCTTGGGTGGTGAAGAAAAAGGTGGTTGATGAAAAGGATCGCTTCAAGAATTTAGAGTTAAGCATTCGAGAGATTGACGAAGCCATTTTTGGGGAGAGGTGCTACAGAATGGCTTTTGCTTGAAATCCCTAGCTTACCAGGATGAAGAATTTTTGGTGAAATTGCATATGCTATCCTCAACCTTTTATTTAATTTGTATGTGGGTAATCTTCTTATCAAATGAGCCTCAGACTCGAAAAACGCCATAACCATTTAATTCTTGTGACCAATAGCTATCAGATTATTAATCAAATTTATTTTTTTTGCACAATAAATTTAAAAATATATTAGCTAGATCTTTAATCAATAAATTAAGCTTGCTTTGTATCTTATTGGAAGAGAGGTCTCTGATATTTATAAAAATTGCTTAGTTTGATAGATTTTGATCAAATCAAGTTGAGTTTGAAATATGACAAATAAACTATTGGAAGTATTCCATCAAAAACCTTCAATTTCCTTAGTGGAACATGATATTGCGAGTCACTTTCATTACTCGTTTACTTGTAAAAAAGGTTGGGATTATCTCCCCGTTTGACCCCAGCGTGAGAGTAAGTAGATGGAGAGAAAAGATGATTTTGACGACGGAATAAAAAAAAGGAACAGAAGTAAGAAATCTGGTAATTAAGACAGTTTTGAGACTCTTCATGTACACACCCCTTCATTTTTGACATTTTGGTGACCAGGGAGCATAACCATCATTCGCTTATTGAGCAATTTTTGATCATGTGATAAATCGTCTGTCTCCAAACATGTTACATTCAATCAACTACTCTCGAGCAGATTGCTATCAATAGCTGAGTTGACTGCCATCAACTAGATGGACTATCATTAGCTAGTTCCTAGCATCAACCAGTTCGCTTACCATCATCTAATGATCCTTGTTAGATTTGGCCGTTTGCCAGACCCTTGTTAGGTGTCGCTTGCTATCAAGTGATTTGCCTAGTATCAAGTAATTCACTTACTAGACCCTTGTTTGGTTTTTGTTTTACAATCTAGCTTCAACTAACTACTAACTTATTTTTTCAGCTGTTGAGCCAACTTGTTGAGTCAAGTTTTAATTATTATGTTCTAGAGTATTAAATCCTAGCTTGCAAAGCATATGCAGAAACGAAAATTTGTTAATTTCGAATAAAAAGGAAAGAAGAATTATAAAGAAAGAAAGAAAGAAAGAAAGAAAAAAAAAACCTTTCATGAGCCTTTTTTTTAAAATTCTTTTTGCAAGAGAGAAGGGATAATGAGTCGAGAAAGAAAAATAAACATTAAATTAAAACATCTAAAACTTGCGAGAGATTAACAAAATGAGTAAAGATATTTTCTTTCTCAATGTTCTCAGTCCCTTCCCTTCCTCATGTCGGTGTCATTTTTTTTTGTTGATGTACGAACTCGCAGCCACTACCCGTTCCGGAGGCCCGACCACCTCGAAGAGATAGAGGCTCCACCACTGTGAGTACGCATCAGGTAAACCCCACTCTTTGTGCAATAGTCTGCAAACCACACAGGAAAGGTAAACCGCACTAGCAAGCCCGGTGCGACGGCTCGACCGAGGAAGTATTGGCAGGAGATTCAAACTCGTGACCTTATTCATTGACCATGTTAACAAGAGTAGCATTCTACTAATTTCTTTTTTCTCCTTTCTAACTCTGTAGTTAATGTTAGTATATCCCATCGTTTTAAACTAAAATTTAATCTAGAGACGAAGTAGAGAAGTTGTTGACCCCAAAAAATAAATCAACAGATGTCGGGCCCACTTACGCCAAATCAAGTACGATTCCGATGCGTTCATATCGGAATGATGATGGTAGCACGAAGAAGTTGGACTCGGGAGGTACTTTGTGACGAGAGACAAAATTGTTTAAGTTTCTACGGGTGGAACGAAAGCAATCGCGCTAACAACAATCACCCGATCGAAAGTAAACTAATCTATGTAATAACAAACAAGAATATGTGGAAGGATAGATGAAATGTTCATATATTTTCTTCAAGAGTTCAAGTGTATATTTTGAATATATGATTGTAAATATGTAGAAGGATAGATGAAATGTTCATATATTTTCTTCAAGATATCAAGTGTATATTTTGAATATATGATTGTCCATTTTTTCATCAATGATCAAACCTCTCCCCTTAATTACAAAGAGAACCTATTTATAATGCATTGGCCGACGTGTTGACCGTTGGATCGGAATCACGTGGCCTCATCTTCCTGAGTAAGGCCTCACATCACTGTCTATTTATATAATTAATACATTGATAAAATATCAACCACCCTATACAATAGGCTGATATATTGACAAACTTTATTATAAGTGTTACATCAATCACTTCAATAGATCTTCAAATCTATTACAAGAGGCAACGTCGGCTTCATGAGCTTCAGACGAGTTTGAGAGCCTCGGAGAGATCTTTTGAGGTGGTTCTCTAAGTGGAGAGCTTCAACTCCTTTCTTTGCTTCTTTAGACAGTGCGTCAGCAATCACTTTGGCTTGTAGATCAAGGACTTCGGTTTCGATGTCCGCTTCAACAAGCATTTCGGCTTGTAGAGCAAGAACTTCGATTTTGAGTTCCGCTTTATCAAGCACTTCGGCTTGTACAGCAAGGACCTCGGTTTTACCTCATGGGTCTTTGTTTGATTTTTTTTGTTGACTTTTTGCCTACGTGGCTTGTCACGAGGCACTTTTTCCTTGAGCCCTCGAAGGCGAGGCGTAACAGAAGCCAATGTTCAACTTGTGACGGACGGGACGGGAAAATCTCGTATGATGAGCATTCGTTGTCTTTCCAAACCAAGTTTTCTATTTTTAAAAAAAATGGGTGCACCCCTGAGCGCTTATTATCTAATTTATGCAATTTATTTTTGAGCAGCACATAATGTGATTAATGCCATAAATTGACCAAATTAGCTGGTTAATTTTATCGAGCCCCTTGTTTGGTGGTCTTTAATTTGTAAAAGTTATGTTTTAAATAGTACCTTCTAGAGAATCTGTGGGAGTTTTGAGTTTACATGCAGAATATTTTATTGTGTGAATGTGTAATTGAAAATGAGTATAAGAAATAAATTAAAATGTAGTAAATTAAATTAAAGGTCATCAAATAGGGGTCTAATAAGACGTTTACGAGAGCAGCTCCCCCATTATCCAATTTAGGCGAGCACCTCGAATTTTAACGAAGCCTCTACATTTTTAAAATCATGTAAATCTTTGCATTGTTATTTCTTAATATATTTTATATTGTTCTGTCTTTCAAATGAATTTTTGAACAAATATCCTTTCAATAAATTGATTTATTGGTCTCAATTCTCAATAAGTGGAGCGCTAGATTGTTTGGATTGATGTAGAATAGAAAGTATAAAATGGGTGACGGGGAGAAATTTCGATGAAGAATCAATTTTGGCTTGTGGCAAGTAGAAGTCAACGATGTTTTGATTCAGTTTGGATTGCACAAGGATTTGGAAAAAAGATTAATCCCTATTTTTGACAGATACGTAAATTTTAGATACCTCAAGAAATAGTCTAGAAAGGTAGAGCAAATTCAGCTAATTGCTCGAAATCAGTAAATGGAGACGTTAACTTTTAACACTAATAATGTGTCCTTTCTCCATGGGAAGAATATATTCATCCTTATGTATTTGGCAAACAAGTTGCCATAATAGAGAGAATATATATATTGTTGTTAACATATCCACAAATTTGCAATTATGTTCACCAAGATTTTCAAGTGGTGTAACCAAAAGATCAAAGAGAGTGACCAAGGCAGCAAGACTATAATTATTCAACCTTGAGAAGAGTTTCTATTTTGGTCTTAGATAATGCAAAGTCAACGTGGATCAGGATTTTTGACTTCGAATTATTCTAATTAAATTATGAATTGAATTTTTATCGTTTATTTGCTGGTAGAATATGATTTGTATTGTTCTCCGTATTATAGGAATGATTTATTATTTTCTAGCTATTTGGATATGATTAGGTAACAATGTCCTCATGGGCTGTATCCTTCGTAGTTTCATCTGATATAAATTTTTTTTGGGTGTGCTTGAAGATTTTGTGAGGAAAAATTATCCCGATTTTTCTGTTTTCTTAGTGGGTTGTTCGAAAGAGAAAAAAAATGATGGTTGTGAGAAAATTTAGAGTATTATTTTTTCTAGAATAATTGAAGGATTTGGGGGTATATGAGAAATTCAATACGATTGTACCAATTATTTTTCATACAAATTTGTGTTCTTATTATTTTTCTATTGCCAATTCTCGCTTTTTTGCAATGCCCAAAAATACAATTTTCTTTTTATTGAAAAAGACTGATTGTGGGTCACCCATGTAGGGTGACTCGACCCAAAATTCAAATTAACTATTTTTTGTTTTTAATTTGTAGTTAATTTTTTTTTATTTATTATTCTTCATGGGACGGGTTCGAGGCGCTTCGGGGCGGGGGCACCCCCTCCCCGCCCTGCCCCACCAACCCGTCGGGGCGGGGCGGGGCGGGGCGGGGCTGATTTTTTTACCATCACTAGTTTGAATTTAGAATTCAAACATACAACCCCCCATAACTCCAATTTTAACCTCCAAATTTTGTTTAGCATTTGGAAAACAGAAAAATGATGGCAAGAAATGTGTGAAATTCGTATGAAAAATCACACATAAAATAAAAAGCACCTAAAACCTCATTTTTGGCATAGAAACTCACAAAATTAGGCACTTGGGTTGTGGATTATAACCCCCTTCCATTGTGAACGGGAATGTGACCACGGGAGTGCTAGAAAATGCAGAATTTGACACTTGGAAAACAATGTGATTCAACCACACAAAAGATCTTGAAATTCATCAATTCAAGTAAGTATCGTGACCCCGGAATTTCATGTTTATGAATACAATGAATTTCTACATTGGTATCAGAGCCATAAGGTTTAATTCATTGCTGTAATACATGCTTAAATATCACATNAAGGTTTAATTCATTGCTGTAATACATGCTTAAATATCACATTATATGATTCAATTGAGTTATAAATCTTATATGTAAAGTTTTGAAATTTTATGTGATTTTTAATGGCTTTGATC